AAACACATACAGATTTCCTACTGTCTAACTTGTATAAACAAGCAGTTTTGGCAGCAAAACAGAAGCCTACAGATCGAAATGTTTCCATAGTAATTGGGAAAAGCCAGATAGAGGAAGGGAAGAAAACTGCCATAAAGTTAAAAGGAGACTTTAGTGATGTAGAGGCAGGCTTTTGAAGGAGGATAGCTTGAAGAATATTAGCATGAAGGCAAGCAGTAGCTTGTTTTTGTGAGTAAAATCTACATAGGCGCATTGAAAAGCTAGACAGGAGCCTCACCTCTATCAACAATTAGGCAATTTATGTCTGCTCTGTGTGTTATTTTCAAGTCACACATGAATTCACCTACTAGTAAAGTTTTCAGCATCACAAATGCTACTGGATTCTTCTCTATAAATACATAAGAAGTCGCATTTATTTACACTGCTCACAAATCAAAAGAACAAAAATTGCAAAATATAATCTAATCCCTTAGGAGCACTCCTATGTTATGCTTACACTCAGTTTCGTGGAACTACATATCTCATATTTTCTCTCCCCTGCAGAGCGTACAGGGCTAAAAGTGTTTTTAAACAGAATACCTACAGACCTCCAAAGAGTGACATACTGCTGCGATACATTTCTTATCCATTAAGAGGACATACCGGGTACGCAATTATCATCCCCAAATATGCCCTCAACAAAAGAAATCATAGCCTGCTTTTAATAAGTCTTACTTTCTTTTGTGAGGAGTCTCTGTGCTCACTGAGTGATACCTCATAAGTTTCCTCTGGGGAACAGATGGTGATGTTTCAACAGGTACCAGAGATTCCTGGCTTTCCGTTGGCAAATGACTCAGTGTGTTTGCTCGCCTCCGAAAGCTTTGCTGAGGTAATGTAACAGACTGCTCAATGGGAGAATCATCTGCATCGCTGGAGAGATCACCCACTGATCCACTGGTCTTGACAGCATTTTCTGTAGGAAGTGCAGGAAGTCTGTCTTTCTCCTTTTCACACAATGGTGGTTCCTAGCAGTGCAAAAAAATAAGGTTATTAATATGTCGGTTTAAAATCAATCTTTGAGGTTGCAGTCCCATGTCACTATTCACATCCCATTGAGACCTGCTTCAAACTTGCATATTTTTATCATGATGGCTCACAGAAAGAATCTTTGATGTTTTAGGTCTTTGTTACTAATCATTTAAGTCAACAAATCACAGTCTCCATTTTAAAGAGAAAAAGTAATTTTGAGAGCAATTGTATTTTACAGTATGTTGAGTACAACTTGGTAGAAATGGGGTCAGAACAGAACAGATGGGCCAGGTCTGGGTAACAGTGACAGCAATGAAAAGGGTAGCATTGCAGAGTACTGTATATTTAGCATCCCATCTAACAATATAATATTCCTCTTGTCTATCTGAAGATTCACAGAAAGGACTTTAATCCTACGACCAGATGCCTGTTTCAGTCCAAAACCATGCATTTGTCATCATTCTCCACCTCATGTGTTTCTTGCAGAGTCGGCCATACTTTCAAAAACATAAGCCGAAAGAGCAGACTCTTGATTACCTGAAGTCAGGAGTCTGTAGGTGATGAGGCATCATAGCAGAATCAATAGCTGATCCACGTCTGCAGAGTGCTAGGCTGCCTCTAGGGAAGAAGGCTCACTGCTTCTATGCTGTTTGTTTATATTGTTTTATTCAGACTAAAAGCTTTCTAACCATGCAAAGGAGGAAATGACTCCATTCTTGTTTTAGTTTTATGTTTCTTATGAATGCAATCCTGCATTCACAGCATGTAGTTTCAGGGCTGAAACCAGCCAGATTGGGACCAGCAGCATGGTAATTACTGCATTTGTTTAGCTGCATGTTGTTGCAAGATTCAGATGATGTTATATAATATTTTATTTCACATATATAGACTCACGTGATAAAATACATACATACAAAATATATAGTTATATACAGTACGTGGTATTTCTAATTCAAATAGAGCCCCAGTTGCACTGCTCTTTTTTATAGCATGGGGAACAGAACAAAAGGCCTGAAAGCAGCTTGAAACTTCTGGAGAACAAAACCACAGATTTACTATGAGTCTCATCTTGTCAAAAAGTATGGAAATCTCCAGGGAAACTCTACAGATAACAGTATCTTATGTGTCACCATTGTATTGACACGTGACTCCTATTTCTGTTACCAGAGTAAACTGGGAAACTACTTTGTTCAAGTTGTCCCTCAGAGGACTCATACACATTCTAACATATGTAATATGTGAGAAATTATTTGGGTAATCACCTTGCAAATTCTAAAAAACTTAAATATTGCTTCAAGCTGGGGGAAAAAAAAAAAAAAAAAGAAAAATGAAAGGCAGTCTCTGATCCAAAAGTCTGCCTGCAATGAATGCAGCCGCATCACCCTGAGAGGGACTCGGCACACAAATAAAGACACACCCTACAGAGTGGCAGCAGGACAGGCAGGTAGGAAACAAAGGACATGCTTACCCCCCTACTCCATGATGCTGTTTTTATCATACTGTTTGGCTGTTCTGAGGTTTATTTCTTTTCACACAAGCAGTTAGCTTGTCTACTCCCAAAAAACAGAATCATAGAATCATGGAATGGTTTAGGTTGGAAAGGACCTTGAAGATCATCGAGTTCCAATAACCAAAACAAAATGCAAGATGTTAGAACAGAACAATTATACGAGCAGTTGGTAACCGCATTTCACACCTGACTAGTTGTTTCAGGGAATATTTCTGAAGTTTCTAAATATGTGCATTCACCCATTCACCCCAGGCTTTACTTACTTTATTTGTGCTGCTTAAGGTACTGGATGTGGAGCTGCCCAAATCCACAGCACCAGAACTGTCCAGCGGACCTCGGGCTTTACTGCCCTGGAGAGATAAAGCACACCAGCAGTGAAGATTATAATATATAGAATCATAGAATCACAGAATAGTTTAGGTTGGAAGGAACCTTGAAGATCATCAAGTTCCAACCCCCCTGCCATGGGCAGGGACACCTCCCACCAGCCCAAGTTGCTCAAAGCCCCATCCAACCTGGCCTTAAACACCTCCAGGGATGGAGCTTCTACAGCTTCTCTGGGCAAACTGTTCCAGTGCCTCACCACCCTCACAGTGAAAAATTTCTTCCTAATATCTAATCTAAATCTGCCCTCTTCCAGTTTGAAGCCATTACCCCTCCCCCTATCACTACATGGCCTTGTAAAAAGTCCTTCCCCAGCGCTCCTGTAGGCCCCCTTTGGGTACTCGAAGGTCACAATAAGGTCTATATATGGGGCACACCCAAAAGAGGTTTGTGTAGCATGGTCAGAATCTGTAATTTTCAAAGACAGTATCAAATTTTATTTCCTGAAATGCTTAAGAATAGCCTTTGCCCCTGTGAGAAACATAGGCTTCATTCAGGACAGTCACTGACATTTTAAAGGATCCTGTGGAATTAAAGAATTCTCACGGGCAATGGTGTGCTTTCCATGATATGTACATAACCACATATTGCATATATGTATTATTACTACTATTAAAATACCTTCTGTATTCCAAACAGGAAATTTTCATACTAGGTACTTCTTACAGATACAAAGAAATGAAAAGGCTGTCTATTACAATGGACTTAAAAGTATATAAACTTAACACACAAATGTAATTTCTGGTATTATCATTTTAATGCCTAAAAATCAGAAAGCATAAATATTTTTGTACAATCTTTTCAACAATATTTTTTGTATAATTTGACTAATGTTTTTACACAACCAAGAGAAATACCAAGAAACCTATTGATGGATTCTTATGTGCTAACAGAACTATGGAACTTGTATCTTCCTAACCTTAAATGGTATCTTTTTTTTTTCATGTTCTGAAGTTAAGGCTTACATTCTCTTTGATCTGTTATTCCAGGTAAAATATAAAATTTTATCATTATTCACAGTAGTGACTATTCTCTCCTTGAAGCTCAGACAAAATGTTTTGCCTCAGATATGTTCAAAACCAAGAACTTCCATCCAAACAGCCATGACAATGAAAATGCAACCAATATACAGCTGTACTTACTTGAAGACAGCTTATGCTAGTCAGGACAAACTGCCAAAAATTAGAACAGTAACCACTATAGTTAGTGTAACAACACTAACTTTACGTTTCACATCCCAAACACACCCACAGCAGGAGTTTATGGGGCTGAACTCTAGAAATCCTGGCTGCGAAGTAACAAGGGGACATATTCAGCTAAAAGTCCTCTCTACATGCATAATTATGGCAGCAAGAACATGCTTTTACCATCATTTGTTTTGTAGGAACAGGTTAGATAGGATGTCTGAAATAAGCTTGGAAAGCCTAGTTTTGTCACTGCAAGTTGCATGTCTATGAGCTAATAAACTGCACTAGATCTTGCTTCAGTTTAGCTGTTTGCGGATGAGAAATGAGAATGCCCAAGATCTGTTTCTTAATATTTGTTGTAGCGCATTCTGTCACAACTCTTTTTTTCTTTTTTTTTTTAAAGGGAGAAGGTCTGGGTTTTTGAAATCCTTTGTCAAGCAAAAGTCCTTCCAAGTCTCCTATTATTTTCGTCAGACTTTTTCTATGAGGTGCAAAACAAAGAATATTTGAATGAGAAGGCACTCTGTAGGTTTAGGTAGTGCTTAAACTTGACATCCGATTTGTTTTCTCAACTGCTGCTGTATATTTCCAGAAAATATTTTCAGCCATCTGTTCATGATAAACATTTTCCCAACATGCTTTCTTGGAGATCACTATGACATAGGAGTCCAAGTTTTTCCCACTGACAGGTATTGCCTGACACTGTTTACAAAGAATTTCACCTGATGTGATATTGCATAAATGCCTTCATATTCTTAGCGTCTTCTGAAGTTCTTTACACTCCTTGGCTTCAAATAACCTCTCTTATTTAAAAGTTCAGATGCCCTGTTATTCCCCAGTTCTGTGTCGCTAATAAATACTACCTCATTAGGAACGCTTAGTCAGTTCCCTAAATGTTTCCTTCTACATAAAGACAAGTGAACAATTATAATTACTTTTTTAATTTTCTAAATCCAAAAGAGAAATAAAACAATGGTTGCTTTCATAAGTTCTAATGCTCAACTTCATGTTAATTTTCTGAAATGCCTATATACACTACTTCTTATCTAGCAATTAGTTCACTTCTTCCAGCACTTGGTATTCTCTCTATCAAAGCCCTGCTTTGTTTTGTCGCCTTCTAATATATACCCTTAAATATTTTTTTGATGGTGCCTTTAATAACCACTTGGCTACAACCTGGAAGGATAACATATATGACTTTTCTATTATTTAAATAAATAAAACAATGGCATTCTGTTCAGAGGCAATAAACATGAAGATACTCACACGTGATAAAATACTTTCAAATGATTCTGTCAGAGATCTTTTTGCTTTGTTCTTTAACATATCTAGTCTGAATCTCGGAGCACTGCTGGGCACCTCATTTACAGCATTCTCAGCAGGTGGTTGTGAAGTCTGCAAGTGTTTAAAAACACAAATGTGAAATACTCAACAGCATAGAGCAGAATCTCAGTGAACAGTCAGTCTGAAAACTTCTGTAACCTGAATCAATACCTTCTTCTGGTGCCCTTGGCTTTTCATGCCTTTTTCTCCACTGAAGTTTAAAAATCTATTCTAACATAAGACTAGGAAATCTCTTAAAGGAAATGTGTTGAGTGTAGCAGCAAGCTTCAGAAGAATTGCGATTTTTATAGGGATTTGTGTCTGTGTTGACGGTTTTTCTTTAATGCCAAAGTACAATTGTATAAATTCTAAATGTTTAAGTGAAGAGATTAGATTTACTCTTCTTCAGCCAAGAAATTAATGAAAATTGATGAAGCTCATAATTAACAAGAACTCTCAAGTGTCTTCATTATATTAAAATGGGGCTTTCTAAGGGCCAGGAAGATTTATAACAATCTGACTCCTCTATGTATTTCACCAGTAGAAACACTTCCACCTTAAAGTTAAAGGTCTGTTCAGAGTTTTGCTTTTTAAATAAATACTTCAGTCCATTTTTAGTCCTTGTGAAGACTAGGGTAGCAAATACAAAAATGACACTACAATGCAAATATTACCATCCAAACCTAACACCTGCAGTAGAAACCAGAGCACAGTTTTCAGCATTATTTTTGGAGGTTCATCTTGAGGCTCCCAGGCACCATAGCCCTCTCTACCTGGCCCTAATTTCAGAGATCTGAAAGCTCCATCTATGTAACTATTAGTACGTGGGCAGCTAAATAGCATGTCATCACCATCATCAAATAATCCTGTCTAGATATAGTTTTGAAGCATCCTATTTCCAGTACAACACAGTTAAAGGCTTCTGTATTTTCTTTTTACCTTCACTCATTCTATCCTCAAAGGATAAATCAGATGCTGCCTGTTATTACGTTCTTATGGAAACACACTTATTTTGAAGGTCATTTTTGTTAAATGAGATCCATGTACTAGTATGACATTTAATTTTTTTCCTCCCCCAATTTAAATATTTTTTTTAAAAAGTGATGAAAAACACAAAAGGGAATACCTATGTGGAACAGAAGGGAACAGGGACATCAGGATAGCATGGGTTAATGATTATTGAGACAAATAATGCTGCCAGAGTACATGTTCAAAGGTATCTGCTATTACACAGCTCTGGAGATAAATTAGCATAACATTTTATATTTACTCTGATAAGATAAATGATGGACCGAGGGCAAGTCAAGTCTGTTTTTAGAGCACTGGCATCTTTGCAAGTGCCAGATTAACCAATTTTGGTTCCAGGAACTGAGCAAACAGACTGTAGCAGGCCTTAGGAATTTTCAAATCAAACTGAAGATGTATTAAGATATTATCTTGCTTCATATATCCCTATTTCCAAGCCATTCGGGACTGACAACTACCTGATAATCAGCTGTCATTAGGCCAAATAAAAATATTTCAGGTATGATGATAGAGGACCCCAGGTAAAGTTTCTTCCTGTCATGCCATAACTACAATGCTTTTTTCTTAAAAACATATTTCTGGTGAAATGCCCAAGACAAGAAATCAGAGAACAAAACATGCAAAGTTTTCTTCCTGCTTCCTCAGGGAGGTCAATAATTAGCCAGTAAGCCATAAAAGGAGAAGAGATTAACAAAGCAAACAAATAGTATTTGAAGACTCCCTGCTATTTCCCTAATTTCCTCAGGGGTCTGATTACTCTCCATATGCATTCATTTGCTAGTTTATATCACAAATGGCCAACAGCAGTCCTCACAATGGAATTACCAGCCAGCAGTGGTGGGACAGCCAAGACTTTTGAAAGGGTCAAATAATTAGAACTGAAGAGTTTCCAGAGAATGGGTGCTGATCCTCTTTTAAATACAAACCTCCTCGAGGTGTCTCCAGTCAGTTAGTCACAAACCAAGGCACCCAAAGTCATTAATCCCTTTTGAAAAAAATCTTAACTGTGCTGTATAAACAGCCAGTTAAACGGCACTGATGCAACCTGATACAGAATGAAAGGGAGCTCAGCTCTTTGGGAATGGATGGCAGTCTCTGCTGCTGTGTCTGCAGCAATACTTCTCAGCTACTCCTCCTTGAGGCCACTTCAAATAGTGCTTTGCACACAAGAAATAACTTCCAGCTCTCAAGTAAATGTAATGGCCTTCATCAAGGATCAAATCCAATGTGTTGTCAGGACACTGACTCACGCAGATAGCGGGATGGCAAATGCCACGGATCTGCTGAGAGCAATTACAAATTCATTATCTATTCTCTCACGTACATTGAATTTTCATTGTAGTGAGAAGAAAGAAACAACCAAATTAGTGGTCTACCTTGTTTGCATCTCTGTCTCCCAGGTCTAGAATCGGACTGTACCGGGTACCTCAAAATCTGAGATATGCCTGTCTTGGCACACGAGAATATCCTACAAATCATAAGCAAAACCAGTGTTCACCACTGCCTATAGTTTGAAGTTCCAAAATGCCAGTGATGGTAATTTGCCTTTCAAAATATCTAAAAATGGAATGGAAGATTTTTTTCCTGGATCTTCCTTACATGAACTGAAACTGGATGATTACTTACCTGTTTTGCATCTCCAACATGAACATGGTCCTTCTGTTTTTCCTCATACATGTTTCTCAAAACAGAGATAACCAACTCATTCTCTTTTTGATCATTTCTTGGTCTTAATTTCTTTAATTGAAAACAACAGAGTCATTAAACATTTGTATAACAGTTAGCAAATATTTACATTTTGTCACTGTCAATACATCCTTAGTGTAAGACCAAGTTTAACTTGGTTAATGCTACCACTCCAGTCCACCAGAGGACACCAGTGTCCCAGGCAAAGCAGCAACACCGCCAGAGACACTTGTCCTCACTTACTACATGTCAGAATGAAAGATAAAGAACAACTGTAGAGGTATCAAATTGCCACAATCAAATGAAGACTTTAAAAAAAGTATTTTTGCCAATTTGCTTTTGGTGTAAAGAAAACCAGAACACTGTAGTTCTGAGTTAGTAGCACACATGAACTACTGTCTTGCAGTGGAACCCTTCTCCTAGAAATCCTTCTCATTGAACACATCATTTTTGGGAAAAGACATAGGTATTTTAAAAATTAGCGCACAAGGTGAACACATTTGTCTCCGCTGCATTCTATTTAGATCTGAATTACTTCAAGAGAAAATGTTTTAAAAACAATTTATTATAGAATTTAATCCCAGAAACCTAACTTTTGAAAAGCATATGCTGTTTTAAGCCTATTGAGGCAGAAGATACAGTATGATTTAGCTAATGCCAGGGTAGCACATCAAATTAATAAAAATATCCTTAGAAAGACAGTTATCTAAAAATGAAAATCACGGTTACAACATATGGAGCTGTAAGAATGTGACAACTAAAATTTCAGGCAGTCCAACTCAAAAAATCAGCTGAAAAAGATAGGCAGGAGATACATACTTTACCCTTGGTTTTCCCAAGTTAATAGTTTGCAGACTCTCACCAGAAGCAATTAACAGTTTCCTGTGACTACCAGAAGCTTTAGACTGTTAAATGTGTGCAGAATACTAAAAGGCAACAGTGCCAGCTAGCTGCTGTATACTAAAATTACCTAGCTTATGGAATCGCTCCCACAGAGTAACTTCCAAATTTGGTACTGAATGATAAACTGCCACATGGAAACACACAAAGAGACTGAAATGACTCAATAGAGGAAGGAAACGTTATTTTCAAAAAAGTCTGAAATTTCCTAATCTTCAATAGAGTGCCAAGCCCAATGACATTTCCTACAATATTCACCATCTGTCTTAAACTGAGCTATGCTTTCCTCTGTGCTAAAACGGATTTCATTCAGAAGACAGAAAGTTAAACTTTTATAGGTAGTTTGACAAGTATTAAGATCTAGGATAAATTTTAGGCAGGAAATTTTCTGATCTTGGAATGTTACAGTAATTTGTTTTGGTCAAAGTAACAGTTGAATGTTCTCACAGTACAAGTTACTGCCTCGACCCATAAAAAAAAGTGTGCAGTTTTACTCAGTGCGAAGTCAAAATTTTCATGGAAAACAAGTAGTATTAGGGGAGTAAAAATGAGTAAAATAAGCCATTTTCATCAAAAGACAAGCTTTTCACAGCTCTGGAAAAATAATTATATTGAAATTAAAGCACAAGGTGATTAACAGTCTACTAAATAAAGATAATGAATAATAATAAAAAAACCACAACTTTTGGTGCTTCACACTAACGTTAGCAAAAAACATCAACTGCTTTAAAATCTTGTAGGAAACAAAAAGCTTACCTTAACCTCTTCAAACACAGAGGCCTGCTCCTGGTTATTTAGTGTTGTTAGATGCTTTTGTAGTTCTATTTTAGTCTTAGAAGGGTGTAACCCTACCAAGAAGAACAAAAAAGAATAAATCAGAGGATCAAATTTGTCAGAATTAATCAATCACATAAATATGCACACAATGTAAGCCAAAGCTCATCAGTTATTTGAGCTGACCCATTGCATTGATTTCATAACAGGGCATTAGAAAGAACTCTAGGTTAATTTAAAGCTACTACTGAACTCATGTCTTTAAAATGAGGGACATGAACTCTGCAACGAGGAGATTTACTGAGCACAGACTAGGATTATACTCTTAGCTGAAGATTCCATTATCACACAAGATAAAATGAACCCACAACCTACTGCATTTTAGCAGACTGCTATGTCGGTGTTTTAGGCAGTACTGCTTGGATTTTACTTGCGGTATAAATATAATTTCCATTGCTTTTCTCCAATTTTTATGCCTTGGCCTCTTCTGAAAAAGGAGTGTATTTATTGCCTGTTAGTGAAGTTCTTGCTGAAAACATTTACTGACAGTCTAAAGCAGACTACCCTCTCATTCAGATTATTTTTTTCTGCTCTCATCCTGGATTAAATTCTTTTCCTCTATTTTCTCTGGAAAAACAGCAAACCATGAACAGTATTTTGTACTTCAGTTTCTGATCATGGCATTTCTCCTTCAGAAACAGACAATATGATTAACCAGATGGCACAATAAAGGCATTAAGAAATCACTTGCCTTTAAGAAATTTCTCAAAAATCATAGCTAGCTGAAGACCAAAATAGAGTGAAAAGTAGTTTTGGAAGTTCTCCAGTTTCATCAAATTAATACTAGATAGGTTTTAGTCCAACAAGCTACTGCCACGTGATCTGACAAGCTGCTGTTGCCCTTTATTCACCCCAGACATTGCTTAAATGAACAAAACCTAACTGTGAAATTTGCTGAAATGCAAAAAGGTTTTTTTTGGTCTTGAACTTGTTTTCTGGGAAACAACTACAATTCCAACTGCTGCATTTTCATGAAGGAGCATAGATCAACACCACAAACATGCATATTAAAAGCTCACTGTTAGGTTCACGTTTGGTGGTAGCGTAATGCCAGTATCTATGTGGATTCAATCGGACAGCAGGTCATAGCTATTGCAGCACATATTCTTGAGAAGTTCCTTAGCTACAATCCTCTGCATTTATAAGGCTAATAGAGCCAAGCTAGCGGCAATTCAGTAATATTTAGACTCTTAATTAGTTTTCAAAAATACAACTAAAATACAAGAAAGGAGCTTTGCTTTTGTTAGAAAATTCTTATTACAGAAAACTTTACATTGCAGCCCTTTAAATAAAAAGACTGACTTTCAACCCTCCATCCCAAGTCCCAAGCTCTTTTTAAGTATTCATTTCCTTAGACTTCCACATGTTAGATTGTCCCCCAGTAATCCACATGTTAGATTGTCCCCCAGTAAAACTGTTAGAAAAAAATATTCAACTAGAAAGTTCTTTAAACCTCACCTTCTATCTTTTCACAGAGTTTATGCAAGCTTTGCATAGGACATCCTTCACAGAGCTGGGGCTGTGCCTTGGAAGTTTGCTGCACAGCAGCTACAGTGAAAGCCTGTTTCAATGTCATCATGATTTCATCAACCTGAAAAGAACAGAGTGCAAAAAAACAGAATTTCACTCCTCCACTGAGTTTCTGTTTTCCTTAACACAAACACAATAGGCTTTTAGAATGATACTGCCGCTTGTTTGGAAATGTGCTTATGATTAAAAGGAAAAGCTGCTCCCGTGCCATTCCTGCGCACAAACACACAAGCAAAACAAAATTCACCGTGAGGTCATCTCTCTTCCAGGCCACCCAATTTTATTACTGTAGTCTATAAAAAGCTACCACCTCTATCTAGAAACCTTTTCTTGTCTGTGATAAGAAAAGCTTGCTGCAGTTGTGACACACCGGCCTGACCTAGAGCACAGTAGTGTAGCCCTGATTTCCTTAACAGGTACAGTGTGAAAAAACCCTCTTCCAAAAAAGAGGCATACAGTCTAACTTAGTTCGTGCAATGAAAGGAAGTAGTATGGGATTTTAAAGGTGATTTTAACTTCTGCTTTCAAAACAAATTAAAAGTTCCTTTGCAGACTGCTATGCTAGTTACCTTTTTGAAATAACTGTATTTCTGAGTGGAGCAGGATTTGAAGACATTCAGCTAAATAGAGAGTATGGAGCAATAGAAAACTTCTAGGGCCTAATATTCTATTAGGCTCTTTTTAAATTTTACTTACCAGTGCTTCATCTGTACACTGAAACACGTAGCAAACAAAGTGGAAGCCTCCATTTTCTGAAGACTCTCTGCAGATGAACCCAAAGTGATCCACATGTCTAATTCCCTAGCACAAAAACAACAGTAATGAAGCAGTCATATTTACTTTCAATGTTTTGTACCTGTATTTTTTCCAAGAACAAAAGCAGGAAATGCCCAACGGCATTACAGATAGGTCACGTATCTCTATTCCACTGCATTAAAGTCATCCAGCCATTAAAAATCTATTCTGTTGTAGAACCTATTACTTCATGAATCTTTTAAATTTCACTTAAGTCAGAGGTTGTTTGTTGGGGTTTTGAATTGTTTGTTTTTTGGTTTTTTGTTTTAATGACCAAATTATAATAGATACATTGGAAAACACAGGGATGAAGAAATACTATTCAAGATATATTTTACTCAATATTGAAAATAGGAGGGGGAAAAAAGCTTGCTCTGTTTTCTCTTTTGCTTAAGCAGTCAACAACTGCTCTACATTTCTAAGAGCAAGTCAAAGCAATAATGAAAAACGGATAAACAATCTTTTCCATCTAAAGAAAAGCTTGGCTAGTTAAAAAATGAAAATGGTTAAATATCTTACTTAAAGATCACTCACGGAAGCATTTATTTCTCCTAAAAGGCATGCAAATTCCGGCACAATCTACTTGCAGCAGCAGATAAACTGTACTTCCTGGTGAAATGCTAAGAAGGTTTTTTAATTGCTGGGAATTTTTTTGTTTTACGAAAAGACTTTCAGATGAGTAGAGTTAGGTGACCCCAGAGCACGTCTCCTCTGTGCACCATTCTTGGTTAAAAAAAAAAACACAAAACCAAACATATGATGATGAATTACATGCACAGTGGTAGAGCCTGTGTATAAAAATTCAATTAAACCATTTTACTACCTACAAGCTGTCGTGGCACAACAATATTAACATCTTGTAAAAAGAGGCAATAAACTGTTGTATCAAAAATCATAATGATGAATCACAGTAAATCAGAAATTTCAGTAACATTTAAACAATCTGAAGATGCCAAGCAGGACTTTGGTTTTTTTTTTTTTATTGTTTTGTTGGGGTTTTTTTCCCCATTGTTTTGTTGGGTTTTTTTTCCCCCTTTTCCTTGTTAGCACAGCAAGATATCACTCTCTTTTTTTTTTTTATCATGAAGAAAACATTTGAAAAAAAAGCATTTAAAAAACATAAAAAGTGAATACTTCTATAAGCCAGAATGGCCCAGTGTCCCAACAAAGAACATGCTATTAGCATCAGATATCCTTAAGGAACCTGAACAACGTTGTCTTATCGTTTGAAATAAACCTTCAGAGCATGCCAGCTGAATGAAGGAAAATAATTCAACGTATATGGAGACACCTGGTTTATTGAGGTGTGACAATTACACAGATAACAAAGGCTTTATTACACAAACTTCAGGCACTAATATGTCATGAGAACAAAAAGATCAGAAGGACATTCAGATGATGTAAAGCCTGCAGTTTCTCCAAGTCTAGCTCCATTAGTTGTCCAGGCTAAGCATTTTAGGAGGTAGCTATGTGATAAAGCAAGGCTGATGCAACCCACAGACTCTCTCCCTCCATCATCCACATCAGAGACATGTACAGAACATGCTAAGCCCTCTCTGTAACCCCCCAGCCCATGCTGCTTCTTCTGAAAGCCCACTTCTCCTGAAAACCCAACTGCTACGGTAGAGGAAGCCCAGCTAGGATCATGGTCCTGCCCACAAAACTGCAAGGCACCAGGAGCTGGCAAACCCTCTTAGCTGTTTCAGATCAGCTAATTTAGATACTGTCCCAGGACCACATACTTCTTTCTGCCATGACTGATTGGGCATTCTGTAAACAAAGTACTGATTCTGATCTCCCTTACAATTTAACTCAGGTGCCTTCAAGAAAAGATTATTAAAGTTCTTGTATGATTAAGATGAGTCCATAAGATTGTTCTGTCAAGTCTTCTGAAATGTGCATACTTAGGGAAAAGCCCTCTGTACCCCAATACCAACATTTGCCCAACTGACATAACATTCACCCAGCAACACGTTCTTCAGACAGGAGGGGAGAATTCAATGAGAATCTCACTTCTACTGCTTTGAGAAGCACAACCGTCTGCTGACCTTCAGGGCAAGTCACAAAGTCTACCTAACTAGCTCCTGCCTAAGGAGATGGCCTAAGGGAACACGGGGATAAAGATTTTTCTGTGATCTGAGAATTCTCTTCAAAGTTCTTAATCTGACAGCATGCAAACTACTTATTGTTTACTCTGAAATTTTCAGAATAGGTACCTGTATGTTTAGTGATGAAAGCTACCCTCACCAAATTAAAACCCAAAGTAATTTATGAAAAAAAGAGTCCCCAAAAGCTATAAGCAAGTAACAGCAAATCATATTCCCTATATTTAAAAATGGGTAAATAAACCTACTGCAAAAAATTAAAAAAAAAAAAAGTTTTGCCCAACATCAAGACCAGAGCCTGTGATGCACTGAGTAGACCTGCGCTATGCAAGTATGCCAAGTGAAGAATAGTTTGTAGTGCAAGAAAGAGTGGCAAAATTCACATCCTGGTATACTAGATATTATTCTCATCCACTTATTCCCCACAGCACAAACAAGCATTGCACTGGTTTAATTCAAGGTGAATTTTTAGTTAAACTAGCAAGAACATCCATTCCTCAATAAATGTAAGTTTATTTATATAATTACAGTTCAGGTTAATTTCTCAGAGGTTTAAATTAAAATGATACATAACAGGTTTTAAAGGAATTACGTGTTCTCTAAGGGCTCTACCCTAGTTTAATGACTTAAATTCAATTTCCCCATTGACTTAAACTGAATCAAATCTGGTACACAGACAAACTAAATACAAATAATGCCCTGCAGGACAGAAAATGGCTAGGTTTTTTTTTGATGACACTTCTTCATTAACAAAAGCAACTGGTCTATGAAATGTCTTTATGGACAGTTGTTTCAGTTTGCAGACAGATATTTGAGCAACTCTCAAAGGAGAGTCCTCCGCTCCTGTACGCAGGATCCACGGGCAGTTAGTGCAGCTGCTCATACAGCAGTGCTGTAATTGCCCGAGCTGTCCCATGTCCTTGATGTGACAGTGACTACTGTGCCCTCACAACGCTGAGCCACTGCGGTAGCTGAGTGTGACTCACACGCCCACGTAACCTGCGTGATACCACTACTGCATCTTCACGTGTGTAAGCTGCATCTCTTTCAAAACATCAACACTCGAAATAAGTCATTACATAAATTGCACCCTCACGTAAGCCATGCAAAATCGAAGTCAGAGCCATGAAAAAGAGAAGCAGAAGTACAGGGAAGCAAACTCTGTGGCCTAAGGAACAGGGAATAATAGTGAAAGAGGAGGCTTGGAAACATGCTTGCCCTCAGAGCATCACATGCACTACCTCTGCATGGCAGAGAGTTGTCTCCTCTTATACACATGCCACTTACTTCAAAAATACATTTTTTTCAAGAGTGTATTTTTCACATAACTCTTACATATTGTTTTCCTCCTTTTGTTATCACTTCTTGAAAAATATGGCTCCGAGAATCCCAGATTTGCACAACTGTGAATCATGCCTGCTGAAATCTCAAACCAGAGCTGACCAGGGTGTTCGAAGAAATGCTTTACTCTGAGGGTGGTGAGACACTGGAACAGGTTGCCCAGAGAAGTTGTGGAGGCCCCACCCCTGGGAATGTTCAAGGCCAGGCTGGATGGGGCTTTGAGCAACCTGGTCTGGTGGGAGGTGTCCCTGCCCATGGCGGGGGGACAGGAACTCGGGTGATCTTTAAGATCCCTTCCAACTCTAACCATTTTATGACTCTAGCTCATATTATTCATCCACCACAGATAGAAGTGAGTCTTTATCTCAGAAATTACAATGTAAAACATGAGAAAAGAATGACGGTTTTATAAAATTGTCGATTAACTAGCAACTTGTCAATGGCAATTACTGACACTGCCGGGGTGAGAATCCATTTGAAATGCTAGGAGAGAGGAGTACATGAGCATTCACAAGTGGAGAATATTTAAACAACAAAAAAAAAGAGAGAAAGAATATACTGCAGTCTTACCTGAGAACAAAAGGATATTTCTTTAAAGCTTTTTTCAATTGCTACTTTTTTTGTGTCAGGACTGATAAGGTAAACTTCAGACTGGCCAATCTAAAAGGAGCAAAATAAATAGCAAGATGATAACAAGTAACATTACACTTTCTTTTGTCTCGTTCTAAAAATGTTTCCTGAACATAAATCTAAATTTTTTTTCTACCTGTAATTTTAGACCAATTAGTGTATTATTACCAGAGAAAGAGAGAATACTAAAACAACATTGATTTGGCATTCAGAGTTGTGCACATTACTGAACTGAGGTTTAGTTTCAAATATGAGACAAGGGACTGAGAATAGCGTTTAATTAGATGAGAGTAATATCATACCACAAGTTACTTTGTACTGAGAAAATATACTTACACTCCCTTTTCTTATTTTCTGCAGGCTTAGCACATACCACGTTCCCAACAGCTACACAATTAAATTGTCCTAAAATTTAAATCCAAGAGTGTGGCTCTTCCTGTATTCCACCTAATTATTTTTTGGAATTTATTTATTTGTTTAAGACACACATAGCATTTAATTTAAACACTTAAACTATAAACACGAGCTTACTGGAGTATATTTTCTAACTTAATTTAATCTGTAGGCCATTTAAACAGCTGTGATCCAAAAGCTAATGCTAACTTTTGATGGGCAAAGGGCATTTTTAGGGTGGAACTATTGTTTTCAATTTTTCAGCTTCTGGCAACATCTTTGCAACACTTCAACAACCATAATTTAAATTCCTCATAGTTTCTAGCACACCAAAAAGCCTACAATGGACAAGTCTCATATCAGATTTTAGAGAAGATGAGTGGAATCTGAAGCCATTCACGAGCATGACTTAGACAAACCTGCTGAAGCTTCAACCACTACCAAATCCCGAAAGACTGACATAATAACATCAGCAGCACCAATATATCTGTAATTTCTTAAGAGGGAAGGGGGAAATCCTGCATGTGAATGGACCAAGTGAGATGTGCCACCTCTGCATGTCTAAAAATGGTCCTGTGCATTCACCTTCCACCTCTTCTTTCACTTCAACCAGTCACGACGATTTTCCTCAACTCCTTGCTGGTTTCCTTGTATTGTCCCTGGGGCTGACCTCACACGTGTTCACGGGGTTATTCCTTCCAACACCTACTCAGCAGCCGCCTCCTGCTCGCTGCTGCCTTCCCCTCCCTGCAGCGAGGGGCTCCTTCTTAGCTCAGCCCCACACACCCCTTTCACACTTGGTCCCAGGGCAGGAGGGATCATTTGAAGCCAACTGAGCAAGGACAAAAAACCCAAACAACACACCCCTCTCCTCCCCACAAAATACAGCCAGGAGAAAAGCTTAAAAATAAAATCCCCCAAATACTAAGAAATTGGCTAGGAAAGCCGTTCTTCAGGAAGAGATACCAGAAGCAGGACTGTCTTAACCAGGTGAGGACAGTCAGCAGATAATTCACCTGAACATTTTTCACACCTCATACACCAACCAACCTCTGCCGCAGTGCTGCGGAAAATCCAAGTAAGGACTTTTAACTGAAAAAATACAAACAAATTTTCTCCTCTGGATATAAAGCTTCTTTTAAGCGTTTCATATGTAGCCACACACAAACCGATGAGGAAAGGTGAAGACTGCTGCATGCACACCATGACTCGTACATGCTGAACACAGGGGACGGCTAATCAACAAACTCAGCTCTGCCACGAGCTTGTGGGTACCGGAGGCACAAACCACAGTTACTTCAATTTCTTATATTCAGCTGAATTTAGACTGGCTGAACAGCAAAAGAATACTAAACAATATTTTCCCAGGCAAAAAGCAACCCAAGATAGAAAGCCAGATCGGCAGAGCCCCGCAATTTGGAAATGAGCCTATCAGCAGGTGACTGACGTTCTATACAGGCTGAAGCTGCGTGTGTCTTTGAGAACTGTTGCATCTATTTAATATAAATTAAAAATGCACTCACCGCAGTAAGACCACGTGGACCTAAGCAGTCCATCTGTAGTCTCCCTATTTCTAAAATATGTGTCATGAATTAATAATGGAGTCGGGTTTCGTTCAAAAATTAGGCATTATCATAAAATGCATCTATATTTTCTGTGTGAAATATGTGCTTGGGGGAAGCAGGTAAACATGGAATTATTATTCCTGGAGCACAAAAGTTCTCTCCACCTCCTTCCAGTTCTCTCCCTGATGCCAGCCTGCCACGACTAAACAGAAGTTTTAAATCAGGTATAGCTGACTACACCTCTTTCTGTGTGTTCCTTTTTACTGACATAACACTTTGGCAATCCTTCTTAAAGCAGCACTTCTCTTTCCCCCTCCAAAACACCTGCTGTAACTGCACCCACTCCACTCTCTTACTGTCCTTAAAAACTCCCAGCCCCAACAGCAGCCAAGATGACCTTACAACAGCCAGCCATTGCAATACCAGCTCCAGCTTTGCATTATGTTCATAAAATACAAGATATATAAAATATGTTCTATAACTTATCCATCATAAGCATTGTTAAGAGGAGCAAGTAACACATTCCTTACGTGTTTCTCAGGTCTTGAAAGACCCTTTTGCTGCTCACCTATCAAGGCTAGGACATTGCTAGCCACATAAAAGCAGGACAAGAGTAGAGGCAGGTGTAGAGTAGCCTGGGAAGTTAATACACTTCTCCATCATTACACCGACACGTTGGCTGCAGGAATACCTTCATGAATTACACTGCTTATCATTGGACTTAAAGTCTACTCACCCCCAGTCATGGTTCAGTCCTTCTGCTCTAGTTACAGGTAACCCATTCACCTCGAAATTTATTTCTGCTGTTCCTAGTTAATGTAATTGTACGTACCATTTTGCAACTGTATAACTACCTACTAACTTGCTGCAGCTTTCTAAAAGCTGTCTTTAGAAGCCAAATGTTTCAGGTAGTACTGTTTTAAACTATTTATTATAAACCTATTTTGACTACATAAAACAATTTACACTGACTGGTAATGCTCTCTAGAGAAATAGGCAAGTTTAAATTAAGCTCTGTTAATTGCAATTAAGTTATTAAAGAAGTAACTGTGATCTTTCAGAAAATCTGCTTTGGTGTTTGCCAGTCCAAACTCCAAGATGTGAAAACGCCACCAAGGGCTGCAAATCTTGCTTTACCGTAAACAACATCGTCCGGTTTTCTGCAATGTCTGTTGGTTGCACAACACTGTGTCCATAGATAAGTTGACTTTTTAGGTTCAGTGAAATTGCATCTTCTTCAAAAGACCTGACAAAGCTGTTACTCCTCTGGCCCCCCTCTTGCAAATCCTTCTTAAAAGCAAAGGAACGAAGCCCAGGCTGAGAAAAAGATTTCCTAATTGGCCTTTTCTCCTCTTCTTCACTGACCAAGGGCTGGAAGACAGACCGAAACTTGTTGCTGAAAGAGAAGCCTCCAAAGTTATTGGCAGTTTCATGTTGTTGGGACAATGAATTGAAATCTGATTTTTTTATACAGCTTGCACGATTAAATTTCTCAATGCATTCATCTATAAGTGCTGGAGGTGCATTTTTATGTGCTACTGTCACCCGTCCACAGAACAGCACCTCAAACTTTTTGGCAAAAGGATCTTCAACATCTGAGAGATTATTCTGAAACTCTTCTTGACGAGCAATTTTTCCAGCTTGTCGAATAGAGCTTATAATCTCAGGCACCTACAGGAAGGGAAAAAAAATACACAACATTAGCATCTAGTGCTTTATAACAAACAAATTGCAACTCTAAGAGGTGCTCCCTGCTGTTATTTTTCTGGAATGGCTAGTTTGGTTTTGTTTTCTGAAAGACCAGTTGAAATGATCTTGTATTTGTCCAACAGACACATTATGAAAGTTAAACACTGACTAGATGAACTCCTGGCAGGGAGACAAATGAGCAGTTCATCATCAACGCTTTGTCAAAAGAGCTTCATCTCTTGTAATGCTGTGTGTTTTCAGTAAAACTTTTGCACCTGAAGGAACCAGTATCAAATGACAAATTCAAACTCAAAATGAAAGCTAAAAATACTTCAGAAAGTGTAAGAGAAGCCACAGACTAATTAATTGGGAAAGTTATTTAATCTCTGTTATTTTTCACTCCCTTCTTTTACTCAAGTATTCCTGTCATGTAGATTATGAGTCTCTTGCAAATTTGCTTTCAGCTTCATAATAGCATATCACATTGTTATGGCAGTTTGGCGTTTCAGGTGTTTTTCTTTAACTGTAAGTAGCTGTGTTTTTAAAAGAAATTTATTCATTATTTTAGATGTTCATTTTTATTCTACTATCCTACTTGACACTCTCAAATAATCTTACTTCCACATACAGTATCACTTGCAGGGCATCTGTATGAGAGAGCAGTCTGTTATAGCCCACAGATGTTGTAATTATAAACAAAACCCAAACCGCCATCTGATATATTTTAAGTAACAGTAAACGGTCACAGTTTCTGATATGGTTACAAGGTATGAACACGCGTATGCTATTTGGTAAACTGCTGCAAGGCCAGTGCTGGGTTACATCCCCCTGCTTTGACTGGCCTAGGAGATTAAGGTGCTTCTGCAGCACGTGCTGCTGCCCTAACAACAAATGCAGGGCCACCATCTCTGATTACAACAGATAAATCTGCCAACTTTCTAATTCCCCCAAATTACTTTCAGAAAAATCCATGCTAAGCGTGCCAGTTTCCTGACAAAATAAATTGCCTCCGTCAAACATTGACTGGAGTTTGCTGACAAGTATTTGGTTGCGGATAGTACAGAAGGAAGTCTGGGAGCAGCAGACAAACAGCAGCCCAGAAGAACCATCTCCTGTACGAGCAAAGGCCTCCCTAAACCTAACGAATGCTTCAGAGACACGACCTCTGTCTTTTCCAGACATTTTTATGGTTATCTAATGCCTAACGCAATAATGTACATAAACCAAGAGCGGAAACAGGAAAGGACTTAAGAGGGAAAAAAAAAAAAAAAAAAAAAAGGTTGACCAGTGAAAACTGAATTTCACGATTCTGAGTGCTCAGCAGGATTCTTTTTATAGACAAGAAAACACCGATATATAGATATGGATAGACAGACAGATACTCACATGCACATAGCTAGTGGATTTCAGACAATAAGTAAGGGATTACAAAATAAATAAATAAGACAACTCAGGAAGCATTACCTCACCCTTGAGCACAAGGCATGAGTCATCAGCTAATCACCAGCAAAGACCATGGGGGAGAGGTAAGAAAAGCAGGGTCATGACTTCAGAACTCTGTTCTTGGCTATGTCACGAACCAGCCAGAAAGCCTTGGGCTCGGGCTGTGTCATGCCTAACTTTTTAATCATACACAAGGAGAATGCAAGTGTATAATGAATTTTTATTACCTCAAATGATACACATTTGGTCCACAGTGAGCTCAAGGTTCACCTCACTTTCATTTACCTAATGGTCCTTCAAAGAACCAATCTTTAGTCACACAACATATCAGGATGACAGTGAAATATAAAACTTTGTTCTACTCATATTTCAAACTGCATTTTCTAATAAACACATTTCACTCTTGTGGGAGTGTCCACACTCACCAGCAATAGGCAATTTTACTCCTGAGTTGCCCAGAATATACGCAGAGACCTGCGATCCCATTTCTGCTTTTGCTGAGGCTGCAGAGGGGACAGCGAAGGAATGAGGTGTTTTCTGGAAAACACTCATGTCGTCACAGCCACGAACATCAGCTCTCACCCAGGCAAAGAGCGCCACCACCTCAGGCAGGGTTAAGGTCCCCCAGCACCACCCCTGCCGACGACTATAAGGAGAGTTTCCAGCAGCGCAGGTGCTGCAAGGGATACAGCTCAGCTGAAGCCCAGACAAGGCATTGGAGATCCATCACAGATGCAGGGTTATTGAATTTGATTTTTTCAATGTTTTTTTTTGTTATCAAACGCCTTGGAAATTGACAAAATTTCAGCAGTGGCTGGACTTTACATACGGGACAGTGGTTAAGAGAAAGACACTACATCTCACAGAATGACTTTGCAATAGATAGTAAACTTCATGTTTGAGGAGACCTAGCGGGTCTGTTGATGAGAACCAAGGGGAGTTTATTTATTTATTTATTTTCACACATGCTAAGGCTTGAATTATGTCATTTATAAGTAACAGCTGGCTTCCCTGCCACACTTACTGAAAAACACTGACTCCTCTGTCCCTGCTTATTAACCTAAAAAAATTCACAGCCTGTTAATATCATTTTATTACTTCTGATTAGGCAATTGATGCAGTATTGCTTTACCAGAAGCAGCAAATTGCCACCTCGGTTTCCTGTGACCCTTACGTATGTTAAACATTAATCTCTTTAAAGACAAGATGCCATGACAAATGAGAAAAAAAAAACCCACCAAAATACATATTTCCCTGGAGCTGTCCTTGGCCTGATCGAGATCTGTGCTCTTTTCATCTACCTGTACCATTCCAGGCCTTTTATGCAAGTATCTAGAAACAAAGAATCCTCACACTCCTGCGTGTTCTTTGACCCTGGCTCCCTCAGCAAACAGAGGCTTGGATGCTGAGCCCGTAAAGATCAAGTAAACATGAGTTAAAAAAAAAAAAAAGAGAAAAAGAAAAAAAAA